CCCTCTACAAGGGTATAAATATATATTTAAATATATTTAGTTTTCTAGCTTCATGTGGAAAATTGTATAAATTCTCAGCCAACTTAAAAATATAAAGAAAATTGGATCTGCGAAAAAAAACGATACCGCATTAAAGTTTTCACTTTTTAAAGGCACAAAAATATTCTAATTTTTATTGCATTTATTTTTAATTTGTACATTCAGGGCGCCGCATCAGTTTGTTTAAAAAATCATTGGATATTTTTTTGGCTTGATGCCGAGTGGGTGCTGGAGTGGTCCGGTCGTTTTGCCCACGACACTGATGCCAATTTCAATCAATTCAATTAATGCCTCAATTCATGGGTTTATCCCCATTCCGCCCCCGAAACACCATGCGAAATAGGGCAAAATGGGGAAAAACGGAGCAAAAGAAAAAACCTCGAACGGAAATCCCGAACAAACCGCAATGGCCGGCAGCAGACAATGCAAATTGTTTGAGTGCCGCCCTGTGAGTCTGTGTAGCTGTATCTGTATATCTGTATCTCAACATGTAGTCCGTATCTGTATCTGTAACTGCGGTTTCCGTTTTGGCTTTCTTTTTGTGTTTTTATTGCATGTGAAGTATTTGAAGTATTTGCGAACTACGCTCGAGTGTATTCATTCCCCTTTAGTTGCGAAAAACTGTAGATGGGAGACTTTAATGTACTCGCAGTTCATTTTGTATTCATGCACTTTACAATTTCTTGTTTCCGATGCACAGGCCAACAAATGCATGGGCAGGCCACAATGGTTCGGCCAGGGGACACAAGGAGCACCAGGATTCAACTGGAGCAGCATCCGCAGCCTCAGCAGGATGTGTTCCTTCGGTTTCGTTTGGGTAATCATCTGCTTCTGAGTGCTTGAGTGGTCTTTAAGCTATCCGCTTGCTGATGATGGATGGAAAAGAGCTGCATCTCCACTTCCACTTCCAGCTGGGGAATATGAGTTATGCGAGCGCCCAAAACCACCGAAAGCTCTTCGTTCAGTTAAGGTAATATATTTGTTAACCTATGTAAATGCCAAAAAATATATGCAGCGAAGTTATTTTTGAAAAAGGATGTCTTTAAAGGGTGCCATAAAATTGAAGTTGAAATCACTTAAAAATGCTGACAGGAGAAGAGAACTAGATATTAATAATGAAATATGTACTTTTGTTGAATTTAGTTAATAAGATTTGTATAGCCGTTTACCTTAATTTGGATATATTCCATTTTAATTTATTATTTTCGTGGTTTTATCAAAGTACCTGTATATATCTCTGAAAACTAAATTTAAATCGATAAAATAATGACATTTATTAATTTCCAATTAATAGAAAATAATTGTCAAACTTGGCCTGAAAGCAAAAGTCACCAATAAAAAGAGTTTCATTTATGTCATATTTTCAGTTATTTGTACTTTTGTGTGTCAATAATAACATGTTCTGATTATTGCATTCAGGCGTTTTATTTTTATTTTATTATTCTATCAGCTTTAATTAATCGGTAAGCTCTGATTTTTTGCGCTCGCCGGTATAACAAGATTTTAAATAAACAGCTTAATTGAGAACCTGCTGCTTTTTTGACAGTTTATAAAGCACATCGGAATTAAAATAAATCCATGCGTATTGAAGGATTTATAAAAGCATGTTAAATTTTAATTTTGATAAGAAACTGGTTATATTAATGTTCGAAGAGCATGGCCAAGCGTGGTATTTATTGCTTTCGCATTGTTAAATTCCCTACCAGCACTTAAATGCAAATTCCTGACACTTGCAATCACAGAGCTCATTCATGCATTTTTTGACTGGGGATCGACTTTAAGTACATTTCCATAGAACAACGTGGTAACAATGCAGGACCAGGGAAAATATCGAAGGGGAAACACGTGCAGGCGGCTGCCGAATGGCGACAATCATTACAAGGACGATGAGCATAAACAACGCAGCAGCAGCAACATCCTGACAGACGGAAACGCAAACACAGGACTCGCACACTCACAGCCACGTTATTTACATACCACATCACGTGCGGCTGTATTTGTGGCACCATTTATAAAGCAGATATGTATGTGCGACACAAAAAACTCTCACATTATGTCAAATGTTTTGTTTGTCCTTTGAGGGTGGAGATGTGGAGATGTCAACGCCCGTTGTTTTCGTCCTGGCAGCATTACGTGCCTGTTGAATTGGCGCGCCACAACTCGGATTTAGTTCGCATTTTTACTGGCCAATCGAGCACAAATTAAACCCGGATCAAGGACCTGGCCAAAAGCACTCGATTCAGCAATCGCTAGCTAAGCACTCGGGCGACCGTTTTCAACCTGAAGTTCGGTCCGGCTTAACTTGCAGCCAAAGTTTTTCGTTTTCTGGTAAGAGAAGAAAAGAGAGAGGTAAGCACAATTGGGTCAGTACACTGCCAAATCGCTTGTGCCCAAGCCAGGGATTTGTTGGTAACAGAAAGAGGAAACAGCTAGCAGAAACAACGAAAGAAACTAAGGACACAAACAGGACTAATCCCCGAGTCCTTGAGTTTTTCAAGTTCAGTTCTGTCTGCGTTGCATCATTGCGATAATTGATGTCTGTAAATGGTTAATTATCCTCAAAGTGGGTCTCGACATCCACATCTGCTTGTAAGATGCTTATTAGACGCTCGCTTTGTGAATTTTCGACATCCACCTATGATGGCTAAGTCCCAAACCAAACCAGTCGAGACTGTTCAATTATACTAATGCTATTATCCCGACATTACGCATACGCAGTGTGTGTGCAGCCAATGGAGGCTCGTAAAATGCAGAGCAGGCATTAAGATATTATTCGTGGGTTTCCTTCATTCAGCCCATGCCGAGTGCAATTATTTGCAGAATATCTAGTTGGAGGCGGGGTGCTCTTAAATATTTCAGCCAGCCAAGGGAGTCTTTAGGATATGTTGTGCCAGATAATTTATCTAAACAACACATTCCCAACCGAAAATTTTCCAGCCACAAAGTGTCAGACTTGATGCTGCGGCTGCCGCTGGCAATAAATCTTGAAGTTCATTAAAAAGTTTATTTATATTTCACCTGCTGTGTGCGAGGGAAGGAAGTCTGGCAAGTGTCAAAGAAATAAAAGCTCGAATTGCCGACAAATCTTTGTTAAGCTTGACCTTGACTGATGGCCTTTCATAAGAAGTCGTTTGGAAAAACCTGGAACAACCTGAATAAGTGCTTAAATAAAAATGTATAAGTTAACAGGATAGAATGAATAAGAAAAAATAAACCGAATTAAAGACCTACCTTAAAAAAAGATATAAATTAAAGAAATAAAACGTAATTGTGTTATATTTACAGTTAAAGATAATAAATTAAACAAGAGAGAACGCTATAGTCGGGTTGTTGTCCCGACTATCTAATACCCGTCACTCAGCCAAAGGGAATGCGAACGCTGTGTCGGGTTGGTGTCCCGACTAATAATCGTAACTCAGCTAAAGGGAGTGCGAGGGAGATAGATATATATATTTTTGTATATTTTTTTTATATATATATATTTTTGATTGCGTATAACTTTTTAATGAATGGTCCGATTTGAAAAATGTCTTCTACATTTCGATAGGTATAAATATACACAACAAAATTGCATTTATACTTCTCGGAAATCTTTAAAGATGTGGGCGCAGGACCCATTTTAAAATCGTTAGTGGGCGATTGTGGGCGTTAGAGAGGGCGTGGCGCTCGGCTAAAATAAACTTGCGCTGCGTAGGAAGCCAAAGAATATGTGTGGGAAATCTCAACCTTCTAGCTTTTGTAGTTTCTGAGATCTCAGCGTTCATACAGACGGACAGACGGACAGACGGACAGACGGACATGGCTAGATCGACTCGGCTAGTGATCCTGATCAAGAATATATATACTTTATGGGGTCGGAAACGCTTCCTTCTAGCTGTTACATACTTTTGCACGAATCTAGTATACCCTTTTACTCTACGAGTAACGGGTATAAATAGCAGCACTTTAATTATTACTTCAATTGAATATTTTAATTCATCAGTTTTATTATTCACACAGTATATGGAACAAAATCGTTGTCCTTTTTTATCATTAATGAATTCTCTCCACTTTGTTAATTAACACCAGAATAGATAACGACGTAGGGTTTTTCATATAGCCCAAAACATATGCATTCACTAGCTTCATTCAACTAAAAGTGTTTCGCCATTGAAGAGTCAACCAAAGCGCCATCCAAAGGAGGCGCTCCAATAAGTTTGAATAGCATCAGAGATACGCTTTTCAATATGAACGGAATGTATGTGCATGTGTACAAGGAGATAGTACGGCTTCGGCCTTGCTTTTGTATTTGTTAACAATGAAGGAGGTGGCTCCGTGGGAGGTGTTTTATCCGGCTTTAATTAAGATCTGGCTGAAAGCGTCCGTATATGACACAAATGGGAGTGTACATCAACTGATAGCAAAATAGTAACCAAGCATGAAGTATTACAATTGAAACATAAAATAAAATGTTGGTTTGTACGCCAGTAACTTCATAAATGAATCTGCAATACCGAAAAATTAAGTAAAAGTACGATTTTGAAGTTGTTATTCTTACCCAATACTGATTGCCTCCGCTTGTCCTATACAGAATATATAAAACGATCAGGCAAGTGTAAACTAAGATTATAGTTAGAAAGAGTATTATATAAAGAATCTTCCAGCGTTGATCTATCCGATGACGTGCAAGGCTTATATTACGGCGGGAAAACATTGCTAATTGCATATAATCAAAATAATAAGAACTATGAATAGATGCTATTTTAAGAAATTAAATAAAAGAAATTTGAATCAATTACCAAACAAATTTTTTTGGAATTTGGAATTTTATTTAATACTAAAGAAATCTAAACTATTTAGTATAAAATTAGAAAAACCTTAAGCTTACTTATGTTACATTTTTTTTAATACTTGAATATTGAAAAAAATTTAGGTATTTAACATCTGAGGGAGCACTTACCTTTACCTATTTCAAGTTCAATGGGTATGGAGCTCGGCTCTCCGTGTGAAAGTTCCTATATCGCCTGGGGGCTCAGTCGCAACGCACGTCGTAGGAGGAGCACTCGCCGAAGTCCGACTTGAGGGTGTAGTACATGCCCACACAGACGCCGGCCACCAGGACGAAGACTCCCAGCCAGTAGACCACTCGCCAGAAGGGCCATGACGAAGGTGTCTTTTGCTGGGGACGCTCAGACCTCGCCTCCTCCTCGTCGACTTGAACTCTTTGAGGCTGGCGGCGCGGCTTATTTCCCATTTCCCCGGGGCCCCTAACTTTGCCTACGAATTTTCCCCCTTTTGCCGATAATTGATTGGATTTTCCCGGGCAACTCGACAGCAACCGAATGATAACATTTTATTGAAATTACTTAAACATCTTGTAGGCTGAGATTCATCTCGTCGGCAAAACTTTCGGCTAATTATTTAAGTTAATTGGCCTTTGTCCGCAAAGGGCCGGGCGAAATAACAGCGATGATGATGGGGGTGGTTGGTGGTTGGGTCAGGCCTAAAATATTTGCTCAGAGGCCACAAAATGTCTCGCAAATTTGTTCAAATTACTTGAAACACAAAACAAGAGTCGGTGCCACTCCTCGACATCCTTGCAGAGTCCGCAGTCCGGAGTCCGGAGTCCTTGCATAAATAAAGGGGCCTGGGCGGAATATAAAAGGACTTTGTTTGCGGTCGAGAGATGAAAAGTCATTTCTCTCCATTATTTGCCAACTAATTGGTTGTAGGACTTGTGAATTTCAGTTCGGTGCTCAAATGTTTGCCCAAAGAATTTTGGAATTTTGCGAGGTGTCAAGTGGTGGCCTGCCATTACTCTTGCCTTTTGCTGTATCAATTAAATGGCCAAATTGCCCAAATGAAGGATGCAGCTTAATAAGGACATTGCATATTTCCACTTACAAACATACGTATATACAATGCCACTTAAACATGCCGTAGATCTTATTCTTGCCTTGATTTAAGTGCGTTTCGTTCGGGTTTTCCCCATGGTTTTTGGTCCTTCGGAATACTGGCGATGCCATTACTGCTTCAATTTCAGTTTCTGTTTGATGTTAATGAAAGTTTCCGTCGTGCAAATAAAGCCAAAAGCATGGAAATCAGTAAAACAAATTGCAATCTGCTTTTTATCGCACGTCGCTGAATGACTGCTGGCTGCCGGCATTTTCCTTGCTCCGTCATCGATTGCCAGGCTTTTCCCCACTTTCCCCGGCATTTCCCTTTGCTGGCCAGGCTATTGACTTGCTCATTATGGCCCTGATGATGACTGCTCTTGCTACGGCTACAGCTCTTGCCTTTCCCGCCTTCCCGTACATATATCTGTGTGCTTTGGTTCCGTTTCATTTTCAATTCTCCTGCAGAAAGCATAGCTCTTCTCATTCCGCAGCCGTATCGCGGGTCGGCAATCAGGGGGCATAAATTGTTAATATATCTTAACGGATATTCAATTTCCGTAGACCAAGAAATGCATTAAATTCGTAACAAAGCTAAGCCGCTTCAACCGAAAGCTGGCAAGATTGTTAAACTCCAGCGGGGTATTATTAAAAATTCAAAGTCGTTATAGAATGGCAAAACTTTGTGCCAGTCGGGGCCAAGACATAATAATAATATAGAGCCGGAGTGGAGGAGCTGAAAAATAAGGAATGGCCAGGACAATGGGGAGACAACAGGCAAACTATGAACTGGGAAGCTGTGAGGCTGGGAAACTGCGAGACTGGGAAACTGCAGGACTGCGAAACTGAGATGCCGAGAAGCTCAACTATGCCCAAGTCGGCTGTCCCGTCCGACTGTTTATTTTCACTAGACTTCGTCTTTCACTGGGCTTCGGCCTTATTACGTTCGGTGGCCTGGCCCATCATCTGCATGGCCTTGGGGTGGTGGGTGGTGATGAGTGGGCGGTGCCAACTGCCAGGACGAAGAGGCAAGTTGTCAACTAACTTTGCAACAATAATCGCCAACGTCGCAGGAGCCGGAGTGACAGAACTGAAGCAGCAGCAGCAGTTCGTTGATAAAAACCAGAAAACAATAAGACTCTAGGCTGACTTTTATTCAGTCCTCTCGGCTGCTCCTCCATCTCTGCACTGCAGCGTTTACCCTCGAAGAAGCAAAGGTCTTCAAAAGGAGCAAACAGCAGCAAATAGGCTGTACGGGTGAGGATCTCTTCAGACTTTCGAGTCCTGGCACAAAGGCGTGATTGCTTTTGATTTTTGTTTGGCCAGACGAGAATAAAGAGGGCACAAAGGGTATGGGAATATGCAAACAGCTTGGATGTGTGCTCTTAGCATAGTTTTCACTTTAATCAAACGGTGCACACAATAAGATTTAATGCCATTTATGGACAATACAAGAGCAGATATAACATAATAACTGAAATATAAATTGAACAATGCGAAATTTAAATCATAAAATTAAATTGAAAAGCTACAGTGAATTTTATAAATGAAGATATACGTGTAAATGAGGTGTAATAAACCAAGGTAGTGTAAGTGTGATGCTAATTTAAAATTAAATAAATTCGAATAAAAAATGTTAATATTGTTTGATAGAAAAATTAACATTGCAGAATGCATTTTATTTTCTCATATTGTAAATGACATTTATAAAATTAGTTTATAAATCAGCTGATAGCAGAAAATAAATATAATACAACATTTAAAAATTAAACAAATCACTGAAAAAAAAAACACTTTTCCCAACTACAAGTTCGCTTTGTAGTCACTTTTAAACGTGATCCCATTTAATTAAATAAATCTGTTGGCCAACTTTTTGCTTCATTGAACTATTGAATTAGGCGCTTCGCCCGGGGGAGTTCCAGAATGTCTATCCAATTTCTGGCATTGTCGTGGGTGGTGGCAGTCCTCAAAAAAGAGCAAACGAGCTGGCAGAATAGTGTGCGTGGCATATGTAAATTTCAAGCTAATTAAAATTAGCATATATTTCCCCTTTTCGCGGGGACACATGCGTGTATGTATGTGGATGGGTTTGCAGAGTGGCGGAGACCATTATCTGGCTCAGCCGCAAGAAGACGTGGAAAACTACGCGCTCGGAGCTGAAGCTGATTAAAAGCGAAAGCTAACAAGCGTTTGCTCTTTGCCCCGTTTGCCCTTGCAACATATGGGTCCTGACCCCCAATTCCCCATCCCCTCCCCCAATCCTGCACCCACTTTGCCAGAGGGTTTTCTGTGTCATTTTGGCTCCGCATTAGAGTCGTAAAAATTTATTGTAACTTTTTTTCAGGCCACCCTTGTCTGAGCCGACGGGCTTAAGGCATTATGCCTTTTAATTAAACCGTTGAGATGTGTGCCAGACATAAAATATAATGGAATGAAATATAATTTTGCATATTCCTACATATATTTAAAGTGTTTTTCACCCGGAGAGTTTGAGCTGGCTTTGGTCGATTACAAAGCTTGGTATTAATTATGATAATTATGCGTAAGCGCTGGTTGGCATTTTAATTGCTCATACGCCAGGCTGCACATTCCATAAAAAATGCCACAAAAGAGAAAACGGAAAAATCTGGAAAAAAAGGACGTACCATAAAATTTCATAATAAAAATCTTGTAAATTTAAAATTACAAAATCCCCTAGAGCGGCATACATCAATTCGTAGCTGAGTTCACATGGATTGTTTTTCGAGGATGCATTGTCCTCGGTCGGGTCCTTTGTTAATTGCCGGAAATGCAAATGGGCAGGCAGCAAGTGGAGACGAAATGGATGGTTGGGAGTTCTGTCGACCATAAATGATTTCCATTTTAAATGCGTGCGAACCACTCTCGCATTTTACCATTTATTTACTTTGGAGGTGAGCCAGCTTCCTTTTCGGGGCCCCACTTTGTACGCAATTTTCATTTCTTTGGCCATCGCCTGTTCCTTTTTCTTGGTGGGACAACAATTCGCTTTGGCTTCACACCAAATTTGATTTCATTCGCAAGACGCTCTCAGGTTAAATGGTGCAAAAAATCCTGTTGACTTGCCGACTGGCTGACCGACCCCAAGTAGGATCTCGGAATGAATTTAAAAGCCACTTTTTGTGCAGAAAAAAAAATTAGCCCACACACAAAAAAAACACGCCGGGATCAAATCTTCTGGAATTTATACGCATATCGTTTTTACCATGTAATACTGGTAAAATTGACACATTTGAAATCCAAACTGGCCTTCATTCGTTTCGAGCATATTGAATTGAAATGCCGCATATCAAGTCAAAATTGATACCACATAATATACAATTGATTATCTTTTTATATCACAATAAACCGTATTCCAATAATATATTACTGAAAGGTTTTTGGTTTACCTTTCCACGCAGTAAATTTGATTCATGGATTTCCATCTCCAAATTGAAATTAAAATTCCAGTAAAAGCAAACTTTTTTCGGTGCAGACGGCCAAATGGCCAAATCCTGTTTGTTGTATCTCTATAAATAAATGTCACAAGTTCTACATTTCAATGCGAGCCATCCGAATGCTCTCCATTCGCTGTCAATTTGTATGCTTTCTAGCGCATTTGCATAACAAAATTGCCATGCATTTCTCATTCGTTTCCGATTTTTTTTGGGTTTTTTATTTGGGGCTTGCACTTTGAACTCTCGAACTCGAACGCAGTCCAAGTCGCCGAAAGAGTCAGTTATCCATTTGCAGCTCAGCAAGTTTTGACTGCAGAATGTCAACAAAATAAATGCATAAATAAGGAGATCATCGTGTCAGGGAACGGCGCTAAGGCCACGCCCACTCCGCAGTCGCGCCCCCTCGAAGAGGTCTCAATATAACGAGATGGTGAAAAATGTTTGAGTTTTGCATTATTAAAGTTCTTGGCTGGCAGTTGGCAACTTTTCACGTGCTGATAAATGGCCCCGAGCTCTGGTAGTGGGTGGAAAAAAACGAAGTGAAATAAAACGAAAACTATTCCATCTTCACTCCGGGTGCGAACATCTTTCAATTGAAATATATCTCTACTTTCCTCGGGCCATCCACGTATATATACCTATATGTTCGAGTCAGCGGCAGAGTGGGATAAACTCGTGCAGACATTTTCCTGGGCTGCCAGGGGGAAATAATGCAGTTTAAAATACCCACTATTAAAGTTTACTCGGCACTTATAATTAATTAAATGCGAATTACTTGACCATCCCCTCGCTTTAAATGCCATTAAAAGATTTCCTCGTCCCTTGGGGTTTTTCTTTTCACATCAATCCATTTATTGTAAAATACGCCGGTCTAAGGGCCAAGCTTTCTGGTTTTCCTTCGTTTTGAGTTGCTTAGCTTACAGGACATAAAATTAATGTATACATAATATATATAGTTCATAACTTAATGGCTAAATGCATTTCTTTAGCTCTTGTGGTTTTTTCTTTTTGCCCTTCGCTCACTTCATTTGTTTGTTTATTTATTTTTGGTATATGCAAAACTGCAGAAAATAGTTTTCAGTTTCCTTTGTTCGTAAAAACTTGCATATTATCTGTTTCTATTTCTGACTTGATCTCTTTGGCATGCGACTCCATCGACTCCATGGGGGGGAATTAAGTAGGTCTGTTTTTTTTTTTGGGACTGAAGCAGACATTTAGTAAGCGGTAAAACGAATGCGTAGACACTATTATATGGTACAACAATTACAAGTACATTTACCAACGCTATAACTAGTAGATCTATACTTCATATGACTGATATGGTGACTTAGGCTAGAAAGTTCTCTTCTCCCCTCCGCGCTCCGGTCTGTATATTTATTATTTGTCTGAGATGAGCCTAAGCGAGTTTAGGCCTCCTATACGATACAACTAGATTAGTTTTAGATTTAGTTTAAGGGACGATTATATCTAGACATTAACTCTGCATTCCCTTGAATGATATGCTCTCGCTGTCTCTGTTGCTCCCGCTTTAGTCTTTAGAGCTACCGCGGAACTTAAGCCTCTATGAGATCTTCTTGAAAGACCAAAGAATTCAATATTTATACGGCAAAAAGGGCTACGTCTAGTGTAAGCTCCATTCGAAAGATTAATGCTACAACTTAGGTCGGATCTGCCGAGTGTGTGTGTGTGTGTGTGTGTATTTACAATGTGGGAAGGGGGTCGCTGACCTTTTGACCTCTTATTTTTACACTTAACTAGGATCTTTCAGATCGCTCCTCCCACAGACAAGCAGTGGACTCCCAACTATAGTAGGCATGGCTGTGGTGGTTCACTGTAGCGGTTCTCAACAGCTCACTTACGCCTGCCCGGCGACCACAAACTGCACCACTCTGTTATCGTTGTTGTTGGTGGTTGTTTTCGCCGTCGTTACCGCCGCCGGCGCTGCTGTTGTTGCTGCACTGCTCAGACCAGACGGCGCAGCATCAGCAGCCGAACCGGAAACGGAAACGGAAGGGGAAAGGGCACCCGCTTGGCACTCGACGGCGGGCAGGCGCTTGACCAGCATCCGGCTTGACTTGACCGCGATCCATTCGTTGCGAGCGGCATCGAACCAAGTCAGGCCCAGATTGTAGCGCCCATTGAGATTGGCGTGCTGGCAATGAGAGAACCACCAGCCACCCTCATAGTTAGCAGCACAGTGCGTCTGCGAGATGTCCCGATCGTCGTCGATGGCCGAGAACTGCATGCCCTGCTGGTAGTTGAGGGCATCGCTGGCATTGCCCGAGTACTCGGCGATGTGCAGGCGATAGCCGTCGGCGCGGGAGGAGATGTAGAAGCGCCGGTAGTCGGCCACCCAAACGTTGTCGTAGATGTCCTGCATCTCCACCCGCAGCCGGCTGCAGTTGTCGAGGGTCAGGTGATGCAGCTGCTCGTTGCCGATCCAGAACTCACCGCCGGGCTTCCCGAATCCCTGGGCGTAGTCCGCCCACGAGCGGTTGAAGTCGGCGCTGCCGTCGAACCGCCGCTGCACCGTCGTCCAGCCGTCGGCGGTGCAGTGCGTCATCAGCGGATGCCGCTGGCCGGCGGGCGCAATCAGATGCAGGCCATCCGCCTGGGTGTTCACCTCGCCGCAGTCGTGGGGCAGCTTGTTGATGATGGCCTCGTACTGGGTCTCCACGTTCTCCAGTTCGCTGACCAGGGTCTCGGCCAGGACGGAGTCGATGGGGGAGGAGGAGGCGGAGTCCTCCGGCGACGCCTGCTGCTGCTGCAGATTCTGGTGATGTGGTCGCTTGTGGGGCTTGTTCAGGTGGGTGAGCTGCGTGGAAGGCAAAAAATAAAGAGAAATCTCAGTTAGCCGGGGGTAGTAATGAAAAATGTGTGGATCGGAATAAAAAATTCCATTTACAGGAGGAAAAATGTATATTCAAAAGGCGCACTGACACATAAATGGAATGGTAAAAATGAATTACTGCATATTGATTTCAAAATTTTGTTTGAATTTATAGTTAAATCAAAGCATATAAAAAAAATGATTTCAGTTGAAAAAATATTTTAATTAAGGTACAAAATATTAGTTACACATCTAGCCAAGGGGTATTAATATAAAATGTGAGGTAGTGTAATAAAATACGGCTTGCTGGATAATAAAAACTGATGGTAAAAGTAAGTATGTGCATACTGATTTAAAATTCATGATATTTTATTTGTATTTTAATTAAGGTAGAAAATATTAGTTACTTAATTAGTAATGAAAACTTTGGCGTAGACAATAGAAAACTCAAAAGGCACACCGTTGGTAAAAGTGAATATCTGCATACTGATTTAAATATCATGGTCTTTTATTTGTATTTGAATTAAGGTAGAAAATATTAGTTACCCAATTAGTAATAAAAACTTTGGGGTAGAAAATAAAAAATGCATTCACAGCCAAAAAAACATTTTCATACAAAAGGCACATTCAAACGTATTAGATATCATAATTTCAGTTGAAAATACTCGATTAGTCATGTCAAATAGTAACATTGAATTAAAACTAATGGATTTAAAAGATTTCCCTTAGCACTCACCTTATTCTTGAGCTCATCGTTGACCAGTGACTGCAATCGGTCCACGTTGGTCCTCAGCTGATCCACGTTAACGGATAGCTTTCGCATCCCTTCGCGCTCCTCCTGCAGGACACTCACGCTCACGGCCATGGCTTGCAGGGATCGGGCCGCATTGGTGCCCTCCTCCCTGATCAGACTCTGTTCGGAAGTGATCTGGGCATTGGCAAACTCCAGCTTGGAGATCTCATGGCGCAGCTCGGGAATGCTCTTGTCCATCTTGGTCTGCAGACCCTCCACATCCTCCAGGAGCTCCAGCATCGAGGTGTGCAGCTTGTCCAGCGAGGCGATCTGGCTGCTCAGGTTGAAGTTGGCATTGGCGATCCGGTGTTGTTCCACCTCGATGCTGCGAACCCGCTCGTCGATGTGATGGAACCGCAATCCGTTCACCTGGCGGCGCAGGTTGCGCTGGGCCAGTTGCAACTGGTGGATCTGCTCGCTCTGGAAACGGCAGTGGCGACGCTTGTGATCGGCGGTGGGCTCTAGTCCAGTGGGCTAGAAAGAAAGAAATATGGAACATTAAAAATAATTTCTTTAAAAATCTATAAAATTTCCAACACACAAAAAAAAACACGACGGGGTCAAATCGATATGCGCATGGTAAAATTGATATTAAGTAATATCTGATATCTAACTTATTTCAAATCGCAATTCTAGTATCCCAGATAATTTAATATAGTTTCACAATTTCCCATTCTGATTTTATTAACTTCAGCTGTGTGGTTAAATTTATTAAATTCGTTTCATATTTCACACTGTAATATATTAAATGTATATCATTTGACCTCAACACCCCTCACTTAACTTTAATTTTGCCTTCATAAGAAAAACCCTTGATAAAGATGATTCGAGGGAAAAGCTGGTAAGCTGGCTGAGATTCTTTTGTCGCTGAGCGGGCTAGGATTATGTGCTGGGAATTGAATGCTAAATCCATTTATTATAAATGCATTTCATAACCAGGCAGACAGAGCGTGCCACAATAATGTCATCTGCAGCTCCGCCGGCAGCTCAAGCTGCAGCTTTTGCCCAAAAGCGTGTAAATCCCCGGAGCTGCTGGAGCCGCTGGCGTGGGTGGATTTGCATCTGTGAAACCGAAGCTCCCAACTCTGGGTGGTAAAAGCTGCATAAATTTCCACATACATACGCTATGCATAGAAATAATTTTGCTGAGTGACAGCAGCGAGCAGCTGTAAACCAAGGTAATGCCATTTGGGTCACATTCAGCCGGCGCCATGAATGAATGTGCCCCAGCGCCAGAGGATCTATTCTATATATCTGCCGCCCCAGGGTTTTCTTTCATTTATGTTCGTGGCCATCATTTATAGAAATGTCTCGGGTAATTGACTAATAAAGGATGCTGTAGGGGACAAAAGCCGGCAGAAAGTGTCCTGCTAATGAATGCAATGAGTGAATGCGAAAAGAAATTATGATATATATTCTGCAAAAAAAGGGACAAACAAGTAGAAAAAAAACAATTTGGTTTCTTCTTTTAAAATCCTTTTGAGTGCCTTGTTTGACTTTCTCTTTTTCTTTGACCTTAATAAGTCAACCTTCAAAAATTGTATATTTTCCACTCAAAGTAGTGCAAAGAGCCAGGCTTCGTTTTATATGCAAAATAAAATCGAATTTTTAAAACATAAGCCGATTTCGAAGTTTTGAAATTCCTCAAATCGATTCACTATTTGGCTTACTCCCGAAAAAGTCACTTGGAAATTATATTTTTCGAATTTTTTGGCCATTTCCCCATCGAATTCAATTATTCTTGGGAAAAGCTAACAAAAGTCCAACCGAAAATATGGAAAATATTCATGAATATTTATGCCCAAGTTGCGTTTGTGCCTCATCGGCATCGAACACTTTGGGCCGCTGTGAAAATGTTTTCATTGGCGGCGGGGCAGCCACTGCTTTTTCCGCTTTTCCTACGCTTTTCCCCTGCTTTTTGTTTGCTTTGCCTTAACGCACGTTTCGGTGGTGCAGTGGGTGGTGGGTGGTTGGGTGGTGGTTCAGTGGGTGCCCCACTGGATGGTGGGCGGTAAGGCTCCAGCCTTGCCGTTGTTTTATGTGAAAGGTCACGAACGCGGCTAATACGACACGTTCGCGTTTTATATGAACTCTGGCCGAGACGGGGAAGTGGCCATCAAAACGGAGAAATCCTCAATATATATTCGAGCAAACGTGTTTCGTATATATTCTTGTATAGTATATACATTCCTAAGGCGGAAAGGTGGCAGCGCTGGCATATAAATTTCGACCATCAACGGTATAATTAAATGTGATTTATGCGGCTCAAATTGCCTTTCCCGGAGACTCGGAGACAATTGAATTTTTCTGTGTGCACTGGCCAATGGCCGCGTTAATTGAAATCGAAATTGAAGCATAAATATTTCAAGTGTTTTTCGTGTGAAGTCATAAACAAAGGGATCAGAGCAGCGCAAGCGGGAGTAGGGAACTAATTAATTTCCAGGGCTGCCCGGGTTGGTTCATGGATTAAAAGTGAAAATTTTACATGCTGTACTTAAGTGAAAGCTAACAAGGATTTGCTATTAGCGCGACAGCAATTCCAAGGGGATGGGATTGGGGATGGGGGCTGCCTGGCACATGGAGCGTAGAAAAAGAGCAAAAATCTGCTCCTGTTCCTGCTGCTCCACGGCGAATTGTCGTAAAAATTTAATAGGACTTTTGTGCGATGGTTGAAAAAGTTACGCTCACTGGAAGGCAGATAGGAAAATGGAGTAAGGAGTATGGGTTTTCGAGGGAGCCATAGGGCGCCGCAAAATGCCATTAAGTTAATGCGCATTTGGGGGCCAGAAACGCTCGTTGCCAGGACGACCTCAAAGTCAACGTCAACCTGATCCTGATCCTGGTCGAAAACTGGCAGACGTGTGCATAATTTGAAACTAAAATGTAGCCCACAAATATTCCAAACAGAGCGGAAATTAATTCCAAGAAAATCTCGAAATCTGAGCCCCTGACAAATGTATCAATAAGGATAACTTGACTGCTAAAATATGTATCAGAGGCATAAGTGTATTTTGCCGATACAAAGGGTAACAATCAAACGAATTGCTGGCAACAGAAGCGTCGGTTCGGCGGAGGGATGGCAACTTGTAACATGAAACAAAGGCAAAACAAATATCAACATAAATAAGGTAAAAATGCCCAGGCACTATAGCATATATATATATATGTGTGGGGGAGTAGGAAAACAGATATTGTACGAAAAGAAACGAAACCGGATTCTCCGTGTCAGGCTGCCTTGGGCTCCTGCTGCTGCTCCTTTGCCTCCTCGATTTCTTCGTTTTGCGACTGCCGTTGTGTGTGCCTGGTATTTGTTTGCCTTGCTAATTTAACAGCCAGTCTCTCATATGTACAATATCCCCTGCCAAGTTATAGTAGCATCAATAACCAATGATAAACATTTGTGTTTTCGCCTCTTTCGTCTCGAATATCTGGCCCCAACTGTTGCAAGTGACAGCTTTCATCAAAGCAATTTGTTACATAATGCGTGAACAGATATGTTCGTATAGATATACAAATGTATGGCTTTATATCGGGGGCATCAATCTGCAGACAGTTTGCAATTAGAGTTGGCAAATTATATTTGGCCTTTCCCCTGTCAGCGGCAGATGTTTATGGGTTCAACTGCTATCACCTCTGAGCAAGTAAATAAATGCGCATATCAAAGTTTGGCTTCACCCATTAAATCAAGCTTACTCTGCGTAGTTTAGCAAGGTAAATTGAATTAGTATTTGTTTAATTGGGGGGTATTAAATATATACTATGTGTATCAACAAAAGATTTAAATTTAATTTAAAGAACTAACCAAAAATTGCTCTTAAATTGCAACCAAATAAATATTTATCTTTGGCCCATCATCTCTATGGAAACCAGGAAAATGTGTATCAAATGTTTTCCTATTTATTTGCCTAGCTTTTTTCTACTGTATTTATTTGCGTTTAATATTTCCGCCAGCCACTTCCCGGAATTCTCAGTCTCTGCACTCATAAAAATAATTTTCTACATTTTAGAAAATCGCCCTTAAAAAATTTTCGCCCTTAAACTAAGAAAAATTTTCTATTTTCACGACAAATTTGCCATAAATTTAGAGCAGGTGACCATAAAAAAATATTTTTAGGGTTAATTTTTCTATTTTTCTAATATTTAGGGCGATTTTTTTCGATTTGCTTCGTTTTGACCTTTTCTAAATCCAACGGCGAATTGCCCTAATTTTTTTCCTAAAATTTTTCTCAATACAAGGGCGATTCGCCTTAAAAATCACTCCAAAAGTGTGAAATTCGGTAGCCCAGCGGTCTAATCACTTGCGCTTTCAACTTTGCTATATGAGGACTAAGGTCGTGGGGTTGTGGGTTCGAACCCTGTGTGATTCAACTTGATTTTTATGTTTTTTTTTTTTTGTAAACATAATACTGAGGACATTTTTTCTTCCGAATTTTAATTTAAAGTAGTCTTTAAACCTTAAAAACGTATGGAAGTTCTGAGTTAAAAAGCATACTTTGTGTTTGCGGGCAAGAAAACGGGACTAATTGTCACAGTCGTCAGGAAAAAAATATACGGTTTAGTTGCCTTTAGTCATATTATAACGTAGACCTCAAGAAAATAAGATGTGTGCAGAGTTTGTTCGTCGTCTTGCGCGATGGGTCTGTGGTGCAGCGGTAGGACGTTAGACTCTAAACCGAGAGGTCGTGGGTTCGATTCTCGCAACGACCAAAAAAAGTAAGTTGTTTTTTCTCCTCATATTTATTTCCCTAATTCGTTTACAAACATGATTTTTCAGTTCTAACGGCTGTGCTGTATAGATCGGGCCCCCTCTTAACGCAGCTCCCATATAAGCTACACACCAATACAATAATATGAAACGGTGTCCTCCGCCGGTGTAGTTTAATTAAAGCAGTCCCAATTCCCAGAATATAGACGATTAAAAAAAAAAAAAATGCTTCCCAAATTCAGTTAAGCATGCTCAAACACGATTTCTTTTAATTTGTCTAATTTTTTAGGGCATTTGCCTTTAAAAACAGAAAATTCGCCCTTAATTTTAGAAAAATACACCTTAAAATTAGGGCAAATCACCCTAAAAACAGGAAAATATTTCTTATTTCAAGAAAAATCACCCTAAATTAAACCAAATTTCCATCGGGATTTTTTAGAAAATTTTTCTAAATACACGGGCGAATCGCCAGCGGATACGATTTATGGGCGATTTTCTAAATCCACGGGCGAAAAGTCAGTTTTTTAGGGCGATCTAGGGTAAAAATTTCTATGAGTGTGGTTTCCGTCTAATCCCCAAAAGGTTTCTCGGGTTTTTGCATAACTTTACTGCTTTGGCTTTGTACATTTTTCTTGGCTAATCAAATAAAGGAAAGTTGATTAAATTTAACCAACCACACACACACAGAGAAAAAGGAAATTGTTGTCTATTTTTTGGTATTTCCCTTTTCGTGGCTGCCACCTGTGCAATTTTATTGTTTGTATTTTTATTCATTTTGTTGCCGGTTATCCTTGAGCTGGCTGCTCCTCCTCCTATTTTGCTCCTCTGGCCTTTGTTATCCGCTTTCTGCTCTTTGTTCTAATTTAACCTAATTTCTGCTTTGCTGCGCTTCTATAATAACAATTTTCAAAAATTGCTTTTGGTTTTTGGTGATGAGAAAGTTCAAGAACTGGTTTTGTTGGTCAAAAGGCGCCCCCTCCACTCGGAGTTTTTTCGGTGGGAAAGAAACCGGCGAGGATGGAAAAAACGTAATGAAAAGGATCAAATTGTGCTGAAGCATCGCGGCAGGGGAGTGAGCCATGTGGCAGGGGAACTGATTATCGGAGCACTCGAGAGCATCTGCCGCAGCTCCACCATCCACCATCTACCATCCACAATACAACACATCTCCAACTCCTGCTGTTGGCTGCCAAAAACTTGGCAAGACAAGAGACAAAAGGCTGGCCCTCTGTCTGTCCATCAAGTTAACCTAAGCCAGTTCCCAAAGCAGCTGGCCAGCGAATCCCATGCCCATGCCCTTCGCATCCCCATTCCCTTTGACTCAGGGCGATTAAAAGGTGATTTCCTGCTTTTTGTTTTGCAATTTTCAGCAATTTCGCTTTATATTTTGGCAACGGCCTGCCCATTAATGATACGACTATATATAAACCTACACACAGGCTCTTGGGGATATGTGGATATACATGGATACATCGGTATATCGTATGTGATGCGTGTGCTCTGAGGTCCGGCGAAAGCCGCTTAAGCTGCCTGGCTGAGCACTTAATCCCCTCCTTGTACTTAGGCAGTCTCAAGGGTATATCGAACCTGCGTGAATTGTGAATTGGAGGTTAACCATGGTCAATCGATCTCAAAGGAATTGAAATAGATTACCAAAGCTAAATTGTCACCAGAATTAATTGAAATATCTCCTGTTCGCTGAAGTGATATTAAATTGAAAAGCTACGTTATAATTGCCGCATATAAAATTACAAATTTTATATTTTTTCCCTAACGTTGTATTAAATGGGTATCGTATAGTCGCAACTATGGATTTCTGCCTTTATATTCGGTTATATTTTTCTTAAATTTCTATTTCGCCCTTTTGAGACGCTCAAGTAATTGCTTCAGCTCGTCGAAATTCTCCGCCTTTGTGGGCGAACAAAGAACATATACAATTTCCAACCGAGCAAGTGAATTTCGCTGGCCAGAAGTGTATGTGTACGTGTGCTCCTCTAAGCAAGCAAATTTCGCTTAAGCCAAACTTCAAAGTGGAGCGCACCGAGTGAACAACGCTGAGGGAACGAACGGCAACCAGCAACCAGATCAAAACAGGTGGCAGCCAAACCAGTTTGTCCCCAGAAAAGGGGGGAAAAGGGACCAAGGGATCTGGGCCCCACTGACATATTTCGTTGATGGTCGAACGACGTAACCGCAGTCTCATATTGGAGCCTTCTGACGCATAATCCTTTTAATGAAGCAACCTGGAGCTTGTTACCTGGCTGCCTTACCTGTTGGCAGCTGCCTTTTGTTTTCGCCCCAAGTTGCTGGCCCATTGTTGCTGCCGCTGCTGCTGTTGCAAGCCCTTTATTGACATTAATTATAATTAAGAAGGCTGGGAAGGATGGGTGGCGAGTCCTGCCATCCCCATACACACAACGTCAGTCTGAATCCTTCACTTTCAGATCCGATTTCTAGAACTCCGCTCTGACTTATGTGCTGCCCCATCATTCACATTCGCCGTAAGCCCGACATGAGAGCCCACGTAAGTATGCCAGGACTCTGACGAAAGGATGCCACTGATCATGGCTCCATCATTCGCAGCCATCTCTTTATGATTCGGCTGAGGTGGGCCTCTCCAGGATATTAAGGCATTGAACGTGTGGCCTAAGTGGCTGCCAGGGGCGAGTCGGCCCCGGCATTAAATATTAAATACGACAACGTCCTGCGGTGCGTATGAGTAATTTGGCCAACGTATGTGTGGCAGGCCATTAAAACGCCAAGCCAAAAGGCGCATTTCGACTTCGGACCCACTCGTTAGCACATCGTGCCGCTCACCACCCCCACCTGGCGGAGGGTTTGGCATATAAAGTAAGGCATAAAACGGCCAGATAATGCCCCGCCAGGTTGGCGGTCGCTTTATGGGACGCACTTAAAGCGAAAACAAAACAAAGCGGTGGCTTTCTTTCGGGGGCCATAAACCAGATGCACTGGGAAAAAAAATATATCATATTCGGGATCCTATTTTCAGGCAAAAGTTAAGCATTTTTCTTCAGATTAAAGAAGAAAGGTCTGATTTCTAAAAAAAATATTAAGGAAATTTTTCTTGATAAATTAGAATGTAGATATTAGATAAATAATATTTATATAGAAATCTATATTGACCCCTTTTTCATTGTGTTTACTAATTTACTAGTAATATTTTAGCATTTTCTTAATTTTTTGATTTTAACAGGTTTTAAATTTTAATCATGGAATTTCAGTCAGATTTCGTTACTTTTTTGGCGCAGTGCAGGCCTGTTTTCAGCGTGGCCCTCGCGTGCTTAGCTGATGATTAGCATAAAGCGGGTACTCACCTCCTGGCTGGCTTCCTGGCTGCCGCTCTCCTCCTCCACGCTGGCCGAGCCGCCGTCCTTGCGGCTCCTCTTCTGCAGCTTGACGAGGGCGTGCTGGAAGTCCTGCTCCTGCTGGAGCATCTCCTCGCGCAGCTCCTGGACAAAGACCTCCGTTTGCTGCTGCCGCTCGCGCTGGGCGGCCAGCTCCAGCTTGAGCTGCTGGTAGTCGCTGCGGATGGTGGCCAGGTCCTCGAAGGTGGAGCTGCGCTGCTGCACATCCCGGGCCACGTTGCCGGCCGTCCTCTGCAGGTCCACCAGCTGCTTGCGGATCTCCGAGATGGTCTGCTGCAGCCACTCGACGGTCAGGCGCTCCTTGTTGCCGCTCTGCGAGGAGCGCAGGGAGGCCACCTCCTCTCTGCAAATGGAAAATGCAATAAAATCGCTAATTAGCAGGCGGTCTGCAGGTAACGCTTTAATTGCTACACACTCCGGAACAGGACATCTAATTTAAACTGACATTTTCAGGCTGTCGGCTAACTTAATTGCCAATGCGGTTGGCGTGCGGTCCACTAATGGGATTTCGACCTGCACTCAATCATGCTCTGGCACCGCCACCACTACACCGCTAAATTTCCATCGACCATTTAAACTAGGCTCTGCGAAATTATTTCCCAGCCCTCCTTCTTCCCCGAAAAAACATTGTCAGCAAACAGAAATCACAGAAGTCATACGAACGAACAGAAATTAACAAAAAACGATGGCAAACTTTGCCGAAAAACACTCAAAATAAAAATCAAGTGAGGCCAGACCGCAAACAACAAGTGCTGGCGAAAAACGTTGTTTAAATGTTGAAAATGAAAATGTTGTAGCACTTGTGGCAGTTGCCAGCTTCCTAAAAATAAGACCGAGACCGAACGGAACGCATTTTTGTGGCATTTCAGACAATTAAAGTAGTCAGTTGGAAGGAAGCGAAAGCGGAAACGGAAACGGAAGCAGAGCCACAAGAACAAGAGCGCTGAACAAATTCGGAGCGTAGGTAAAAAGTTTTGTTTTTCGGCAGGCAGCTGCTGTTTTATTTTTCACTGTCAAAAGAGCACGGCTGCATAAAATTTTCATAAGAAAAACCCAACGCAAAACACAACAGGACGAAAAACGGCATAAACCAAAGAAAAGTTGTATTCGCCTTTTCTTGCCTCGGTGGTACATACATCACATCACATCCGGCTGGGTTTTTATTTCTGGCTGCGTATACGTAATATTTCAAATTGTTGCATTGTGCGTGGGCGGTTTTTGTTAATTTTATGGCTTGCTAAAGTTTTTGTGGCCCCGGCCAGACAGACTACGAAAAGTTATGGATTTGTTTACCTCCCCCGGTTTCAGTATAATTACTTAAATATTTAATTAAAACGGGGTGAGGGCGATGGGCTAGGGAAAAAGTTGGGATATTAAAAGCATCAACTGACCCAACGTTGGGCGCCAAAGTAAGCATGTATCGCCAAATATTTGGCATGTTAAATAAAATAAAATGGGTTTTCTCTCTTTTGAAAAACTAGCATTACTGTTTCCTAAAAAAGAGAAAACCAACTTCTAACTCCTGCCCATTGGCAACTGTTGTAATGCCAAACCAACTGAATTTCCCTTTTCGCCTGGCAATTTCTCGCTTGGCTGCCACACAGTTTTCAGCCAACAAAAAACTGGCTGTCATTCAAGTGAAAATTGAAAATGCTGTCAATGACATGCGAGCAAATTGAAAACGCAACATGAACACTGCAAATGCCGAACTTCATCGGCCCTGATTTGATGACGTCTGATGGTGTTCGCGTCCGGATTTTCCGATTTTTCCAACTTTTTTCGGTTTTAATTACCAAATTGGATGCAGCGGTGTAAGTTTTGCCAGCAAACGTTGATAGCGGTGTTATCAAATACACTCAAATCAACGGAGTGAACCTGGCCAACACGCCAGTGTGCTCAATCAGATAATGATGTTGTCCAACTGAGGGGGAGAAGCTGATCCAGGTGGGCGGAATGGCCGGAAAAGGGGGCGTGGTATGGTGGTCGGTTTTGTGTTCGAGGGCGGCGATAGTGGATCACATAAACCACAACTGACATGACGTTTGACTGGCGTTTGCCTTGGGAGTTCTTGGCTCCGCAGACCTGTCCCTTCGGCGAAACACACTCACTCATATGGATTTAGATATACGGAGTGTGTGTATATAAGCATGAGCGTGTGCTGAATTATTTACGGTGTCACTGACAAAGTTTACGATGTCCACGACAGGAACAACAATGGTCTAACCTTGGCTATTTGTTCAGTAAATTAAGAGTGCGCCATTTTTACGTATTTTTTACGCTGCCACAGGAGATGTTTTGGGGTTGGCGAAACTGATATATGTGGTATACGTATGGGGTATGTGTGCCTTCCGCTCGATGAGACAATCATTATTAGTCAGCCCATGACAACAAAACAAATCACGAATACTACGCAAACTTGGGCTGGGCCTGTTGGTCGTGTCTTCGCTCTGATTAGATGTCTTATCCTGCTTCTGCCTCGATTCCGCTCCCTCACATATTTGTCTGAATTAGTTGGACACAATCATGTTCCGCATAGGAATTCCATTGCTCATTGCACTGACCTCGCCTCGAAAAGTTGTAGGAGTGGAAAAATAGAGAGAAAAACTGAAGAATGTGAGTCCATTTTTTCGCTAAGAAAATAGACATAAATAATTGCAACGTTGTTCGAGGGGAGATGGCAGAAACAATGATAACACGACTATTATGGAATGTGACCGGATAATGGAGTAGAGCGCTGCTTACTTAAATAAATATAAATATTTTGACATCATTGTGCTTATCCCTTACTTTATCACAATTGCTAGGGAATGTTTTCTCGTTTTGAAAGATTTCTAGGTTTAAAACATCCTAAAATGAGGGAGATAAAGTTTAAGAACTTCGACTCACATTAAATGTAAAATTATATTTTAGTTTTATTTTAAATCAATAATAACAAACAAAGGATTGCAATTAGTTTCAATGTGCAAAAACCCAGGAAAGCCATATTTTTCTCACTGCTAGAAACTGTTGCCCGCTTTAGAGGGCCATCAATTCGTTGGCCAAAGTTGGGCGACAAGTTCTACGTGACTGGGGAAAAGTTGGCGGAAAGTTTCGAGGCCCACAAATTGCCAGCGATAAATGGACCAATGGCAGGGGCCGCCTCCACGCAAATTAAAAATTCAAATTCGATTTAGAGCAGGTGGGCCTAAAGCTTAAACCCAAAGGCCTTCTCACCTGAGTTGGTTCAGTTCGCTGCGCATGTCGGCATCCACGCTGGCCGCGTTGGTGGTGAGCCGCAGGGATTTGCGCAGATTGTGCTCCAGCATCTCGTAATCCTCGCGGCGCCGCAGCATCAAAGCGTTGAGCTGTTTGGTCAGCAGGCGCACCTGGTCGGCCATCCGCCTGGCCTCCATGGTCCTGCCATTCGATGGGTTCTCCACGGAGCTGAGGTCCTCGCCGTCCTCGTCGTCATCGACGAAGCGCAGCAGCTCCACGCTGGATTCCGGCGCTTCCGTTTCCGGTTTGGAGTGGCCGACTGGCTTCTCCGAGGTCGCCACCTTGGCGTCGCGCAACATGTTGTTCACATCGCTGAGGACAACCCCGGCACTGGCCGCTCCTTGCACGGTTGCCACTGAAATCTGGAGTACTAACACCACCGCGGCCAGCAGTATGGGCCGCAAACCGTTTGAGCCTGCCATTGTTGCAGGGCAATTTAAAGGCGCACGCGAAACTTTACTTTTCGGGTCTCGAAATGTTTCGGCACTGGAAAAGGACTCGAGTTAGATGGCCAATTTATGCAAATGACTGGCACGCATGCCGAAACACACACAAAAAACGATTCCCGCGACAGTCAAACACCTTACAAAAGGCGCTGGCAAACAATGCTACAATTATTCCTGCAGCTCGCCTGCGGCCAAATCCTCTTTGTTTTTCTAAGCTTTGCTTTTCACTTTTCGGCTGGCTTTGGTCCACGGAAAGTTCGCACGAAGCACTGGGCAATGGTACTTGGTATAAGGATGGGCTGGCAGGCCTCTAGTATCCAAGGATGTTTTCAACGCGGCGGCGGTCTTCGAAGGACTGAAGCGGCGCGTCTTCGGCACCTCCTTTTATTCGCCACGAGGCCGAGCGGTCGGCTGCGTTCGGAAGTCGTCGGAAAGCGAGAAGAGAGCCAAAGAGAGTGCAAAGTAGCGAAGAGCAGGCACCTGCCCGAAGTGGCATGCAACAAGCAGGGAAGAGAGCAGCAAAGAGAGCGCTTCAAATTAAGAGAGAATCAAAGGGAAGACTAGACATGGCATTAGAACCCGAAGAATGTCCTTTAGATTCATAGCTATAATCACAGATCTATAAGGCGGCTGTTCCCGTTCGGAGTTTAAAATAGAGGACAAAGCCATCCCAAAATGGCGGTCTAGGTATCTGGTCCTTCCTTTTTGCACTCATCCTGCTCCTGACGCATGGCGCGTTTGCGGTGAGGCTACGGGGAAAACAGACTGCAACGAAAACGGCAGATGTTTTGGCCCCATAGGCAGACGTAAAAGTGCGAAAACATATTGACGTGCTCTGAAACTGCAAGAAGAAGACCCGAAAACAGACGGAGGTTTAAACCCTGAAAACGGGGAATCGTAGCTGCACGGAGCTGAAGGAAACTTATCAATGAACAAAGGAAAATCCTGCAGGAAAATTCTCCATTGTCTTAGAATTTCTATTATGCAGCTGGAAAAACAAGATATTTTGGCGTCGTACCATAAAGGAGATTCGGAGAAAATACCTCGATAGGTAATCAGATACCGACCACCTACAGCAATAGCTACATCAATGAAGCTATTTTTATGCAGTATTCTTGTTCTTTAGTTATATTTAAAAGGAAATTTTAATTTATTTACGTTTTCTTTATAGCAAAAAAGGATCTAAATCGAGAAGGCTATATTAACAAAAACCGATATACAAATTCTAAGGAGATCCTTTAATTTTGAAATAATCCTAGATAAAATGTATTTTATTATTTTTTAATTTAACTTAAATTTTATTCCTATTATGCAGGATTTTTCTTTTAGGACACAGTTAGTGGGATGCTATCCTCTCTTCCTATCTCCATATAAATCTCCTACACCCATTCGCTCCGCTGGTATTTTGCAGATATAAAAGCCGGAAAAGGTTTTAAAGTGCAAAGTTGGAATGCGGCTGCAAAAGTCACAGGCAAAAAAGGAGCAGCAAAGCAATTGAATGGGTCGTAAGCCCACTAGCTGCATTGTTGCAATATGGATCCAAAAGAGGAGGATTTTTCGCAAGTGGGGAAAATGTGTGCAAAAAATATTCCAAAAATGCCGCCTTACGCACCGAAAAAAGCGCTGTAAGCTATGCATTTTTCCTATTTTTTATTCCATCTATAAATATAACTGGGGTGAGGCAGGTCTGGGGTCAGCTGAATGGAATGTACGCTTGGCTGAGCAAAGGGAGGGGATGTTGGTGGAAAAAGGGGTAGGAGTAACGACTGCAAGGGGTGCAACAGTCTGCCATTGTTGGCACTTGCCGGGGCTCTGTTGCAATTTGCAATATTTGTATACCCTTGCAGGGGGTTATATTACACAGGTCAACAAAATGGACTTTATTAAAAGGTGCAGGCCTATTGGCATTAAAACATGTTAATATAGACGTATATAAGCATATCTGCATACTTAGTTTTCGCGTTTAACGGGTGGTATTTGGGCAATCGCGGTTTGAAAAAAATTGCAACATTTAATTTTTTGATTTAAGATATCTTCGAGGGTCTGTGCTCAGTTGTAATAATACCTATGCCAAATAATTGCTTAGATGCCCTTCTACATTATTGCACTTAGGGTTCCATCATAATTTGAGTCAATCACAGCCTATGAGCCATTGAAGTAATTTGTTCACCTCTATTCCCAACCAACTTGATACGGTGAACACGCTTAAAAAAATACAAGGAAAAATATATGCCCTAAAATATTTTACAGGCATCTAGAGGCGTCTTTCACCGAATTTTTAAGACAAAATAAGACCATTGTACGTCGAAGGATGGAATTTATAGAATTTTTTCCGTAAGAACTTAAAAAGTAACAACTATTTTTAAATCCCATTTTACATAAATATCTGACACATTCGTAAAAATGTGCCTTTCAATTTGGTTAGCAGTAGGCGCCGAACATAGACAAATTATATTTTTAAGGATTTAATATGCCTTTAAAAAAATCCCCACCACAATTTTAAGGCGACGCCACTGTTATCTTTAAAAAGCCTACTGTGTAAAATCACGACACACTCGTTACGTAAGAGTGACTCTAAAATACTTGTTACTTTTCCCATTCTTACGGAAAAAATTCTATAAATTCCATTTTTCGAAGTACAATAGTGGGATTTATCTCAAAAATTCGGGAAAAGACGCCTCTAGATGCATGTAAAATATTTTAGGGCACATATTTTTCCTTGTATTTTTTTAAGCCTGTTCACCGCATCAAGTTGGTTGTAAATAGAGGTGAACAAATTACTTCAATGGCTCTTAGGCTTTTATTAACTCAAATAATGATGGAACTTTAAATGCAATTATGTAGAAGGGCATCTAAGCAATTTTTTGGCATAGGTTTTATTACAACTGAGCACAGACCCTCGAAGATATCTTAAATGAAAATATAAAATGATGCTACTTTTTTCAAACCGCGATTGCACAAATACCACCCGTTAAACTCGAAAACTAAGTATGCAGATATGCTTATATCCGTCTATATTAACACAATTTAATGCCCATAGGGCTGCACCAAAAACACTGTTGGCCTGTGTTATATATTGTATATTATATTTTGTTAGGATATTACGATTTAAGTCTTAAAGTCTAAAGAAAATACAAATTTTCTAAGATTATTTTAAAAGTGGTAAGTGACCTATTTTGAAAAATTCATGACTTTTTGTAAAGTCAAATAATAGTCAAAAAAATAATTTCTTCTGCTAGGGTACTTTGATCTTCGGTCCCCGAATCGCGCCTTCTTACTCGTATTATTTCGATGTTGTTTTCGTTTTTACTTTTTAATGTACTGCTAGCAGCAAGCGGCGGTCAGAAAGCGGAGGACAAGCTGTTGGCCAGCCCCTTTGTGGTGGCCATCATCAATGGATGTGGCTGCATAATCAAGCGGTGGCCACATGCACATCCATGCCACACAGCACATAGCACATCCCTTGCCAACCGACTGAGCTGTTTGCATATTTTGAGTGGACGCAGTTTAGTTTTTAATTTGATGCCTTTGTTTGTTGTCATTCTGTTCTAGCTTGTTGCACACGGCAGAGGCAGTGGGATGGGGCATTGCACCTGGGAGTGGTGGCTGCCGCCATTTACATGGCAGTAGTCCCAGTAACTCCGTAACCCCCCTTCCAGCAACCCACCCCCCGTGGTGCATTTGTTTCATTGTCGCCCGTTATATTGTTGGCTTTTATGCAGGGAAATGTGGCTGGAAATGGCAGCGAATGGCTCACGTTATGGTCAGCATATTAAGGTAATGGCCTGGAAAGTCAGTCGGTGCTCTCCGGTTCACTCCCTGAATTGGTATTAAATGTGAGCATGGCACGACTCGAATGGAGTTCAAATTTCATTTGCACTCATATTCGATGGGGATTTCAACGGTTGCTCCCCATTGAACGCTCCTTTGAGGTCTCATGCAGGTGCTAAAAGCAGGTACTCTATGCGATTTGATGGGCCACTAGAATTGTGCTTCCCAATTGCACTTGCACTAAAAACAAATCACTCTGTGTAACAGGAAACTAGATCTGGACACGTTATATGGTAGAAAAATCTTTGATATTAGAAATATTATTTATTTATTTTATTTATTTTTCTATAACTCTTTCGATGAAAAATAATATTAGAACTAAATACTAAAAAAACAGCTGTTTTTATTAAATTCTCAATTATTAAACTCAGGAGAGCTGAATTTTAATCTTTCAAGGAAAGCAAAGAATGAAGGTAACACAGTTGTTTTCCAAAAATGCAGTTCTACTAATTAATTCATTTTTAATTTCTTTATTTTTACGAGTATCTCAAAATAAACCCAACAATCAATGCTGGAATGCGGGAGCAGGTGTCTCTTATCTCGTCATTGACCAGTCCATGGCCTTTCGGCCCAGGCAGTTGATGAGGGCTCAGCGAGTTGGCTCAAGGCATTGTTGATTCTACACATTGGGCAAACGAGAAGTCTGCTTGGGCTGAGGACAGGTTCCGGTTATAAGGCATGCAATCAAGAAGCACGCAACCACGCACGCGATATGTTTTCAGCACAAGCGACAGTTTTGTGCCTTCGAAAATATCTGACCAAAAAGTCGATCCGAAAGAACGCTGCGCAGGCGCAGTTCCAAGCTGAGCACTAATCATCTGAGTGACAACGGCTGCAACAGCTGAGGTAAGCTGGCCAAGGAAGAAGCAACAGAAAACTGGTAACCGGCTGCCGCTAACGGCAGGTGCAAAAAATTTACCACTCGAACGAAAATTTCCTACCTGATTTAATCTGCTGCTGTTGTTCCTTTTTTACTGTTGCAGGCGGCTGGTGTTGCTGTTGCTGCTGTTGTTGCTGCTGTGCCAAGGTTTCGCTACGTGTTGTTTCATCAACTTCGGGACTTGTAGCCATAGGCACAGTGTGGCATGTTGCCTGTACGCTCCGCTGATCACACACACAGGCCACACAGACACACACCAACACAGCAGCAGATGGGCCAACACACACGCAGATACTTTTGCTATCACTCAAGGCTGTTGCTGCACGGCTGCCTCCGTTTTAACCAT